GTCAAAGATCAGCTAACTGAAGTTGGAGAAGTTTGTCGCAATGTAAGAACATTATATATTGTAAAGACTGCAGCTGTATGTCTATATAAACATTTCTATAGGTGTGTGCACCAGGGAACCTCCATTCTACATAATTACAGAGTTCATGCCTCATGGTAACTTACTTGATTTTTTGAGGAATGCTGCGAGGGAAGAAATTACTGAAGTGGTTCTCATGTACATGGCAACCCAGATTGCTTCAGCCATGGCTTACCTGGAATCACGAAACTTTATACACAGGTATTACATCCATTTTTATTTATTTTGATTATTTTATTTTTGCTTTTTATTTGTTTTGTTTCGAGCTCAAAGATGCAGAATGGGTTGTCTGTACAGGGATCATACTCTGAAATTTAATGTTGTGAGCCCTCAGTCTTAATGCAGAGCCATGGGAGTGAGCATTTTCTTTGATCTGAGATACAATTTTCTAATCTGGTGGTAGATTTATAGTAACTTAAAGCATAAATCTGTATGCTTTCGTTATGCAGATCCATAAGATACAATGTTGATCAAACACATCTGTAGAAGACAGTATGATTTCTATACACTTAAGAAGTGTTTGAAACGTTTATAACTTCCTAAAACTTATGTATTCTAAAGTCTTATGTAAAGATAAGATAATTTTGTGACTCAAAATTTTGATTCTTATAAATTCACAATTATAAATTATCCAGCTTATCTGCTGATGAATTGAGTAGAATAAATAAGTAGCATCGGTGCCATATACATGTTCTTGAAATAGTTTTTATAGATAATAGGTTATTTGTGGTAAGTAGAGAATAACTTAGCCATCATATACATAAGCTATAAGAGACTCCGTCTTCAGTTTACCCTTGTCCAGGGTTACTAATGAAGGATGAATATCTGTGAAAATGGTCTAACTTGGTGACTAGTACCAAATCCAAAAATAGATTGGGCCTTACTGTTAAGCCTAAGAGAATCAGAAGAAAGGAAGATATGTCTAATGTTTTTGAAAATTACAAGCTTGATAACAGTTGTTTTAATTGGAAAACTTTCAGTAGGTTAATCCCATTGTTTTTGTTATTTCAGAGACTTAGCAGCTAGAAACTGTTTAGTTGGAGAAACTCACTTGGTGAAGGTTGCAGATTTTGGCCTGGCTCGTCTGATGCGAGATGATACATACACTGCCCATGCTGGAGCCAAGTTCCCCATCAAGTGGACAGCACCTGAAGGTCTAGCTTATAATAAGTTTTCCACAAAATCGGATATTTGGGGTATGTTGTGATCTTTATGGATTTAAAAATAGAAATTACATATAGTTTTTAATTGCTGACTCATTTGTTTTCACTATTCAGAGTTATTGTAATGTATAAACCAATTAAAAAACATTGTACAGGAGCTCAACAAGTTTAATAAAATCAATTAAAATAAAACAAAAATTCAAGAATAATTAAATTATTCTATAGATGATTTAAGCAGAGTGTTTATGATGAACAAAAGAAGGCGAAATGGACAGCAACTATTTTGCTCAGAGTGACACTTGTAAAGAAAGTCTTGGGAAAATTAGTCTACAAAAATAGCTCAGATTGAAAACATAGTTCACTTCACCTCAGTTTATTCATCGGGAATAATTATAATTTATCATATTTTTCCCGAACATCGTGAATACACATAAAGCAGTTTTTCTTTTTCCATTTCTAGAGTGTGTGTCTGAACCATATTCTTAAGAAATTGTTTCTGTGGTTAATTGTTTCATATGACAGAAGATATACATTTACAGTATTTATTAGGTAAAAAAAAATCTTGATTTATATCAGGTGGTTCAAAGTAATCTAAATCTTTCATTAAAAAGTTACATTTTTGTAATGATGAGATTTGTTTGGGTAATATTGCCCTTGTACAATGTATAATGTTATGTCTAGTAAATCTGTGTAATGTTAGGTGTAGTAGATCTGTATAATGCTATGTGTAGTAAATCTGTACAATGTATACTGTTATGTGTAGTAAATC